GGGACAAATTTATAGGTCAGTATAGGAGAAGTTTTTAACATTAATGGAAAAGAGATTGTATCATATTGATGTTGTCCTTCTAATCTGGCAGCCTTGAATTTAATTTAGAAAATGCCTCTATTTCTAATTGTACCTTAGTTTTGATATATTTTACTATTAAGGATCACATACATAATTTTCCTCTTTTTCTTGATTTCCTTGTCAACTAATACATTTTTGAAAGCTTCTGGTTAACTTCTAATTACAGGTAAGTGTTGTTTTCCATTTGCTTAACAAGCTTATTGAGGTTTTTTTCTTTTTGAGCCCGAGTCTCGCTCTGTTGCCCAGGCTGGAGTGGGATGACATGATCCTGGCTCACCGTGACTTCCACCTCCCTGGTTCAAATGATTTTCATGCCTCAGCCTCCTCAGAAGCTGGGAATACAGGTGCCTGCTACCACGCCCAGCTAATTTTTTCTATTTTTAGTAGAGATGGGGTTTCACCATGTTGCCTAGGCTGGTCTCAAACTCCTGACCTCAGGTGATCCACTCAACTCAGCCTCCCAAAGTGCTGGGATTACAAGCATGAGCCACTATGCCTGGCCACTTCTACCATTTTTTACAGGATAGTTTTTTGAACTTCTAAGAACTCTTTAAAATAGTAAACATCTGCCATAATGCTGTTAAAAACCTAAGATATAAAATGTGTAGTAACATGCTTTCTTAACATTAATGAAAAAGTGTTTTTTAATCAGTCCATATTTTCACACAAAGGACAAAACCAAAAGATTTAGAAAAAACTGTATATAGAAAGTACATATACCCCGAAGCTTCCAAGTGACTGTGAAGGAGTCACTTCCAAACCCTACTGCCCACCACCCAAAACATGAGGAGAAAATAAGAATGTTGGCCTTTTCTATTCTAATTATCAGTAGCAAAGTACTCAAAGCCCAGTTTAAAGAAATGTTTCTGCAGAGGCTTTACTGTACTGGGGATTTAGCCCTTTCTATTCTTCTAACTCACTGATTTCTACTTTATGTCTTTAATAATTTCCCCATTCTGCTTTCCATCAGGTTTTTTGATTGTCCTTTCTAAGAATGAGTTAGAGGCTTCATTCATTTTCATTATTTTCTTAATGACATAAGGATTTTAAGGCAATGAACATTCCTCTGAGCTCTCCTCTAGTCTCTAATCAGTAACGATTGCATTATTGCTATTCTCTGCATATTTGGCAGTTTTAATTTCAAATCCTTCTTGATCCAAGGGTTACTTGCATGAATGTAAAAATTCCACAAATCAGCATTTGTTTTCTGGTTTTGTTACTAACTTATAGATTTAACTAAGATCAAAGAATGCCATCTGTACTTTTTCTACTTTTCAGTATTTGGGGTGTTCTTCATTGAAAAAGATTAGCTTCTTGAATGTTCCAGAAAGGAAGTGGGAGGGAGAGAGAGAGAGGAATAGATAGAAGTTTCGTATTTTAACTATGGTTCAATTCTAAGCATTCTAAAACTGCATTGAGTTTTTCAAACCATGAATTACAAGGGTGTTTAATTTCCAAATTCATGTAGCTTTTTGTTAATCTCTTTATTATTGCCTTCTAACATTAATTGCTTCATATTTAAATTATAAATTATATGGTGTGGATGGTACCAATAGTTTTTAAATCTTCTGATTTGCTTTATAAATATACAATTAATATTTCTCCCACAGTCCACATATGCTTGATAATAATATAGAACATCTAATTATTGGGTACAAAGGTCTATATTTGCCCATTACACCATGTTCATTCAGTGGTTATTCAAATCTACCTGTGGGCATTCTGTGTAACTTACTTATGGTAAGCAGGGTATGGTGAAATCTCCAAATACAATGGCAGACTTGTCAGTTTCTCCCTGTGGTTTTATCAGTTTTTCTTCTGTATTTTGAGGCTATTTTGACAGGTACATAAAATATGAAAATTGCTACATCCTCCTAATTAACAGTCATTTAGCATCAAGTCCTTACTAACACTTTCTGTTCTAAAATCCTTTTTTGTTTGATACTGAAGCTCCATCACTTGTTTTTGATTAATGTATACTGGCATATCTTTATCACTCTCTCTCCTTTATAAAATCTTTCAATCTTCTCATATCCTCATATTTTAAATATGATGGATTAAAACAGCTGGATAGTGTTTTATTAGTTCCATCTGTCTAACTGGTAAATTTAGTCCATTTACATTTGTTGTGACTGATTGATGTGGACTTCCTTCTATCACCTTTAGAACTTCTATTTCTCTCACTTTCTAATATAATTTTAATATCTCCTCCTGGGATTCCACTAAGACATATTTTAGACCGCATTCTGATCTCCCTCCCTGCACAACCCCACCAACTTCTGCCCTGTTATCTATCCTCATGTCTCTCTGTGTAACATACTGACTTACTTTTGGGAGGTAATTGTCTAACCAATTAATTCTTTCTTCTGATGTCTAATCCATCCACTGAGTTTATTTCAACAATTACATTTTTTATTTCTTTATTTCATTTCATTTTGAGACGGAGTCTCAGTCTGTCACCCAGGCTGGACTGCAGTGGCATGTACCTGTAGCCTTGGCCTCCTGCGCTCAAGTGATCCTCCCACCTCAGCCTCCTGACTAGCTAGAACTATAGGCACATGCCCCATATCCAGCTTTTTTTTTTTTTGGTGGTGGTGGGGTATTTTTTATAGAAATGAGTTCTCACCATGTTGCCCAGGCTTGTCTCCAACTCCTGGGCTCATACCATCCTCCCACCTCAGCCTCCCAAAGAGTGCTGGGATTACAGGTTACTCAGCTATATATTTTATTTTATTTTATTTCTGTAAGTTCTATTTCATCCATTTTCTTTTCAGGTCCTCCTCATCATTCCTGGTGGTCTTACTGGTTGCTCAATTTTATGAGTCCATCTTTCTTCTATATTAGGTTTCACATGTAACTATTTTCTCACCATTCTAATATTTGAAGTCTGTGTTCTGTATCTGATAATTCCAAAACCTACAGTCTTTGGGAAACATATTATTCATTGTTTCTGACAATTCTCAAATATGTTGGGTTGAGACTACTTGAATGCTATGATTTGACTGAATTCATAGTTGCCTGCTTTTAATCTTCGGGAATCCTACAGGCTTAAGTTAGAGATGCTTTCCTACAAAAAATATCTGTGTCTGCTTCTGATGAGAGCTGTGGATACAACTAACATGAGACCACTTTACCACCATGCATAATCCTGACATGCTCTTGGATTCTCTTGGAGAATCTCAGGATTACACAAGGTTCTCAAATTTGGCTCCCCAACCTTGCTCATTTATACGCAGAAGACTAGACTGCTTAGTACAGGTGGTGACTCACTTTCTGCTACCCTGGAAAAAACAAAGCAGATCTCTCATCGGAATGTGATCACAGACTAGGAAATTCTGAAGGTGAATAGCTGGAGGCTGTGGGCAGCAGGGAAAGATGGGTGTCTTTCCTGACCATAGAAATAGGTCAGAAGCTGCCTAAAGGCCATGTGCTGCAGCATTTCACTATTTAGTTCAACTACCATTCCCTCCACAAGAGTGTGAGTGGAAGCTTCTTAGAACACCATGTTGCCTTTAAACAAAATCATATTTTTGCTAAAAAGTCATGGTCATGGTAAAAAGAAAACCTCTGGCTTTGGAAGGCTCTCTCTGTAATGTCCTAGAATTAAGGTTACAGCCTGCATTTCATGTTAACTAAACAGAAAACCAGCCTGACCAACATCCTTCTGCCCCATGGCTTGCTCTCAGCTCCTTTTGGTAGGGCCTAGGGCAGTCAGGCTGTCTCATTCCAATCCTTGCTCTGCCACCTGTGACCTTGGACAAGTTACCTGCCTTCAGTTGCCTCATCCATAAAATGCAGATATTAACAATACCCTCTTTTTAAGTTATTAAGAGGATTGAAAGAGCTAGTGAAAAGTAAAAAATAAAAAGACTTGGTAAGCATAGGCACAGAGGGAAAAAAAAGTAAAAATAAATAAATAAAAAGACTAGTGTCTAGCACATAAAAGTTCATCAGGAATTAATTCTATAACATGAACTTTGCAAAACTTCAAAGTACATATAACTTTTACTAGGGTATACATACCAATAATAAATTTACAACTGTAGACATATTTGTCTACAGTAAATATAACAAAGACTAAACAGATACTAAATCATTAAGTGATTATTAGTCAGTGTCTTTAATTTTCTTATACTTCTATATTTTCTATAGATCATCTTTGTAACAAAGAGAAAACAAACCAAATGAAAATGAAATGAATTCTCTCAGAAAGAATTAAGACAGGAAGTAGGCTCACAAAGTAATATAAAATGTATCTTATGGTTTATGTAAAATTCTTAATAGAAGTACCTTCTTTGCTCCAAGCTGCACTTTGGCTTTGTCTTTGACTCAGGTGGCATTTATTTGCATGATGACTGATTCTATGGAGTAGGCACTGCTTCAGCCCTACAGGAAGAACAAAACATCTCTAGAACACCGCAGCATTCCTGATTCCCACTTGAGAAGCCCTAACAAAATGGCATGTAACTTAACAGCAGCAGACCAGTGTTACAAAGTCTGGAGTCAAAGGGAAACAGTAAAATTGGAACATTTCCAGAATCTCACAAAAAACAACAAACCAATGTTCTAAGTGCCCAACATGAGCAAATTAGAACCTTAAATAAAGGTCACTCTTAATGCCTATCCTAGCATAGATTCAGCACCAAGTACAATGTCATTTTACTGGTTTACCTTTTTAATTTAATTTATTTATTTCTTTATTTTGAGACGGAGTCTCACTCAGTTGCCCAGGCTGGAGTGCAGTGGTACCATCTCAACTCACTGCAAGCTCTGTCTCCCGGGTTCATGCCATTCTCCTGCCTCAGCCTCCCAAGTACAGGGGGGCTGCCTAAAAGTGGTTGACTCTACTACTGGGACTACAGGAGTCTGCCATCACGCCCAGCTAATTTTTTTTCTATTTTTTTAGTAGAGACGCGGTTTCACCGTGTTAGCCAGGATGGTCTCGATCTCCTGACCTTGTGATCCATCCACCTTGGCCTCCCAAAGTGCTGGGATACCTTTTTCATTCTTGAAAGTAGGAGCTATGAAGAAAAAACAACAGCAACAACAAAAAACCCACTAAAATGTCTTTAAGAGAACCTTCTACTTACCATCTAACTTACATAATCAAAACACTCTATTGCGTGTGAAAACTGAGTATTATAAGAAAATAATCACCTGTTTTGTGAGAGGTTTCATACATAATGCTCCTTCACCCAATATATACCTTAAAAAGAAAAAAGGAAACATATAAAATTATCTTGAGAATTATTCCTGCTTAAACAATTTCTATGTGCCATTATTAAGAAAGTACACACAAAGTAAAGATAAGAAGAGAATATGCAAGCATGAACATACTTGTTAGGGATATAGGACTATGGATAATTTAAAAATTCTAATGGTATTACTCTCATGTAATTGCTCTGAAATTCTAGTTAATTGTTTGAAATGGCTCCTAGAACAGAATACTTTGAAATTTTGATGATGTCAAAAACTAAGAACTTGGCCCTAAATAATCCAAAGAATAAGGGCAGAAGAACCCGTTTCCTTCAATGAGTATTCTTTACGGCGGAAACTTTCTCTCCCATCCTGTGATGGCCAAGGGTTTTTCCTCTGACAATGGCACTGATCTTACCCTATCCAAAATATGAACATCTGCATGGTTTCATGGTTCAAATTATTTTTATCCATTCTGTTGTGAGAATCAAATGGTTCACAGCATGTGGCTCCTCTGTGGGACTCCTCAAGTCCTTTCTAAGACTGAAGACTGTTCTCTGAACCAAAGACAACTTCTGGGGATGTACCAAATCTCCCATTAGAAAATTATTGGCCAGGCGTGGTGGCTCAAGCCTGTAATCCCAGCACTTTGGGAGGCCGAGATGGGCGGATCACAAGGTCAGGAGATCAAGACCATCCTGGCTAACAAGGTGAAACCCCGTTTCTACTAAAAAGTACAAAAAACTAGCCAGGCGAGGTGGCGGGCGCCTGTAGTCCCAGCTACTTGGGAGGCTGAGGCAGAAGAATGGAGTGAACCCGGGAGGTGGAGCTTGCAGTGAGCTGAGATTGTGCCACTGCACTGTAGCCTGGGTGACAGAGCGAGACTCTATCTCAAAAAAAGAAAAAAAAAGAAAGAAAGAAAATTATTTAGATCAAGATGTTTTAACCTTTTAACTCTTTCTCAAACAAAATCATTTCATTTCTCCTTTAATGTTATTTTAAATTTCAAAATACACAGATAGCATGCCTAAAATAAAATCAAAGGAAAGATAGTTTTAGAACAAAAACTGTGGTAATTTTGAAAACACAAAAGCTAAGACACTGATTGGATCTACGTGGACACCAAGTCCACCACAAACTGTTCTCTCCTCTGGGGCTCTGGCCACACCTTTCCCTTGCCTAAGATTCCTTTTGCTTCCTACCCTTCCAAATGCTGTATTTCCCCCCAGAAGACTTGCCAAGACCACTCTAGCCTGCACATCTTCCATTTCAGCTAACCAAAGGCATCCTTGCATTGACTAAACCAAATTGTTTTGCAGAGAAGGCATCTAAAAACTTCTACTGTAGACCATTCAGCTTACTAATTGTTATCATGACATTATTCAATAACAAAATGAGGGAAAGAAGTCCTCTTTAACTCCTTTGCCCTGGAGAATCCAAGCAAGTGGCTTTCCCACTTGCTTTGACCAAACCCTGGGACCTTTCAAAGTGAAAGTTTAATGGAAAAGAAAGAAAATCTAAAAGAAAAACTCTCCAAAAAACTAAACTCAGGTAAAGAATCATGGGATTAAAAATTTTTATTCTTTGTGTATTTGATTTCTGAAACATAGAAATTGATCTCTCACTCCTTAAATCTGCCACTGGGCTAAGAGGATATTGCACATAATGTGTACTCATTGATTTAACAGAATTAGAACATCCAGGTACTCACTGAAATTTTGATTCCACAACTGCTCAAAGTCTATTCATTAGTTAATGAGTTAACACAACACTTAATCTTCAAATTTTGGAAATGCTGATGGTAGACAGGAACTTGTTTTGGCAAAAGGAAGCATATGGTAGACATTGTTACCCCTTATCCAACCATCACCACCTTTCCTTTAAAGTACCCCACTCTTCCTTTAAAGTTGCAGAGTCTCAGATAGTGGGAAGAAAAGAAGATTTTGCATTTTCAGGTCAAAAGAAAGTACATTTGTACAACCACATAATAGCTATGCAAATGTTTGTTGAAATCTAAACAGAAGACAGAAGTAGTTCTAGTACCTTCACAAAAAGTAAGATAAGTAAACTTTTCCTTAATACATACTTCCAGCAGCATCGACACCTAAAAGTGGTTGACTCTACTACTGTATTAAATTACATTCATTTTGTCAATATGTGTTCCAAATTCTTACTGCTCTTTGTCTCCAAAGGGATCCTACTGAATATTGAGACAGTTCAAGAATACTAGGGGAAAAAATTTGAATAATTGAAGCAAGGGTCATCTAAGGATAATATGTCACATATACAGACACAGTAATATTTTCAACTTAAAAAAAAATCAGTTGTCAAAGTTGCACAGCAAGCACTCTCCTAAGCTTAGCCTCTTCAGGCATTTGCTTTATAATCACTTTAAAGAAAAGTCAGTCACAAAATGCCACATTTTGTATGATTCTATTTATATGAAATGTCCATGATAGGCAAATCTACAGAGACAGAAATTAGATCAGACATTGCCAGGATCAATGGTGGGGGAAATGTGTATAGGGAGTGACTGCTAATGGGTACAGGGTTTCTTTCTGGAGAGAAGAAAAGGTTCTGAAATTAGGTAGTGGTAATGGCTGCATAACTCTGAATATGCTAAAAAAAACTACTGAAATGTACACTTAAAAGGGTGTGACTTATATAAAAACTGTATCACAATCATTTCAAAAATGTTTGGGTATGTCAAGAAATAAAGAAATAGGATCATAGCTCAAAGATATGGGATATAAAATAAATGGAACAAAACTGCTCAATAATCTATCTAGAATCACACAACGGTTAAGCTTTACCCTGACTAAAATTGCAAGCTTGCTGTTTTGTTGGTATTTCACATTTTTTACTTCTTCCTAAGTCAGCCAATAACTCCTCCTCCTCACTTAATAGTTGACTATGAAGACCAAGCCATTTTGATTCTGCCTCCAATGAGCTTTCACATGTCATTCCTCCTTCCACTCCCAGGACTACCAAACCAACGTAGGTTCTCCTCACTTCACTCTAAGATGACGGCGTGGCCCTCAACCACTGTCACACTCTTCTAGGCTCTGTGAGCACAGTGTGTCTCATATTCTCTTCCGCTGTCACCAGATTTATTCTAAAACAGTTTCTTTACTGTTACTCCCCTGTTTCTCAGCCAGTTACATAGAAAGATGAATATCCGGGGTAATAGTTTACTTACTAGAAAAAAAATCTGTCACCAATTCACAGAAATGTTTCAGTACAAAACATTACATCGGCAATATTTCCTACAACTCTTCTACATGAATCCTACCCTCCTTGTGTTATAGCTCAAACTGGTCTCATGTACTCTGAATCTCTCATTCTCTTTCCTAGAGATTGTGTTTACTTTTCACCTATGTAAATAATCTTCCTGCAACCTCCACCAACTGACCAAACCCCACTCACATTTCACTGCCCAACTGAGATCCCACCTACTTCATGAAGAGCAACTCTTTGCAGCTTTAAACCTCAGAGAAATTAAGTCCATGCTTAGCTTTTCTTTTTCTTTTTTGTTCAGATGGAGTTTATCTTTGCCACCAAGGCTGGAGTGCAGTGGTGCAATCTCAGCTTACTGCAACCTCTGCCCCCCGAGTTCAAGCGATTCTCCTGCCTCAGCCTCCTGAGTAGCTGAGACTACCAGTACGCACCACCACATCTGGCAATTTTTTTGTATTTTTGGTAGAGATGAGGTTTCACCATCTTGGTAAGCCTGGTCTGGAACTCCTGACCTCAAGTGATCCATCCCCCTCAGCCTCCCAAAGTGCTGAGATTACAGGTGTGTGCCACCATGCCTGACCTATGGGTAGCATATGATAATCAATAGGGTACTTAGAGTTAGTACTTTTAATCTCCTCTTATATAGCTGGCATTTGGTATAATGAAAAACACTTTATTAGGAATCAAGATTTATTTGGGTAGGTCACAAGCTGACTTATTATTCAAATTATTTATCCAAATAATGAGGACCATAACACACTGTTGCAAAAAAGAATCACTGAAGAAACTATGTGAGAGATTTTAAAACTGAAAATGGCATGACTCATAACTTCATGTATTTGTCTCAATTCTAGGTGGTATACGAAGATCATACACTTACATTCTTGGCATTCTTACAACAAAATGTTGAAAAGCTATACTGGTCCATTGTATAATCACATTTTCAAATGTTTTCATACATTTATCCTGAATTTGCAGATTTTTATCCAAATCTTTTCCTTGATCATTTTTTTTTTCCTCAAGTAAGATTCTGAACAAAAAAATGACCCATTTTCCTTTCCTGTGCTTATGGGAATATTGAGGCAACATACACAATTTTATAAACCAGTGCATAAAACTAAAGCACAATGCTAATGTCTTTTCTCCCCAATCAGTAAGGGCTTCATTAAAAAGCCCTTACATTTTAACATTCAACTATGAAAAACAAAAGAACTATGGCTTGGTGGCTAGTAAAAGGCTGGTATGGTGAGTAAGAGACACAAAGGTTAAACATTTGCTATTTTTCAGTCTTGTGTTTATTTTGTATACGTAAGTATTTGGCTGGGTTACCTAACACTGAACTTCCAAAACTGACCATGAGGTTTTATGCCAAGAGAAGTACTTTTTATAGCAATTTTACTGCTGAAACCAAAACAGCCCAGAGAAGATTTAAAGGTAACAAAATAAAACAGTACACAATTCTAAACAACTCTGCTTCACACCCAACCGGGGACTTACACTCACCTAATAGTATATTTGTGATCAATTTTGTAACAAGCTGTCAAAAGGAGACCTCTAACATCTGCTCATGAAGGAATCACTTCAGCATGTCCTGCTGTGCAGCAGAAAACACATGGGAATCACTCAGAACTCCAGATTTCCAACAGAGCAGCATTTCCCAGAGAGTAAGCCAGAGGGCATCGTCCTCTGAGATGCTGTCAGGAGCACTAATTAACAAATTTGGGAAAAACAGAAAATGGCATTAAGGCTTCCAAGAAGTCCTTTGGTAAAAGACACTTTGAACCTGGCTTCCCCAAATCCTTGCAATCCCCACAAAACAAATATCTATGAACATACCACTATATTAGCACTCACAGAACACTTGGGGAGATATGGCAAAGATTAGGCTGCAGGCCTCAGGTAAGTAAACTCTTAAAACACAATATTGAAAAAAATAGAAATCTAAAAATTAAAACAGAAAAACAAAAGCAAAAGATAAATAAATAAATAAAAAATTTTAACAAACAATATTAGGCTGGGCAAAGTGGCTCAGACCCATAGTCTTAATACTTTTTGAGTCTGAGTGGGGTGGATCGCTTTAGCCTAGGAGTTCAAGACCAACACGAGCAACATGGTGAAACCCTGTCTCTATCAAAAATACAAAAATTAGCTTGGCCTGGTGGCATACACCTGTGGTTCCAGCTACTCAGGAGGCTGAGGTGGGAGGATGATTTGAGCCCGGGAGGCAGAGGTTGCAGTGAGCTGTGATTGCACCACTCACTCCAGCCTGGGGCAACAGAGCAAGACTCTGTCTCAATAAAATTAATTAATTAAATAATAAAACCAATATTCATTTACTGTGTGGGGAAACTCAAAATGAGCTTGGCACATCCATACATAATACTAAGGTTTTTTTGTTTTTTGTTTTTATTCTTTATTTATTTTTTATTATTATACTTTGAGTTCTAGCGTACATGTGCATAACGTGCAGGTTTGTTACATATGTATACTTGTGCCATGTTGGTGTGCTGCAACCATCAACTCGTCAGCACTCATCAACTCGTCATTTACATCAGATATAACTCCCAATGTAATCCCTCCCCCCTCCCCCCCCCCATGATAGGCCCCGGTGTGTGATGTTCCCCTTCCCGAGTCCAAGTGATCTCATTGTTCAGTTCCCACCTATGAGTGAGAACATGCGGTGTTTGGTTTTCTGTTCTTGTGATAGTTTGCTAAGAATGATGGTTTCCAGCTGCATCCATGTCCCTACAAAGGACACAAACTCATCCTTTTTGATGGCTGCATAGTATTTCCATATGAACTTATATCATAAGTTTCCATATGAACTTATATATCATAGTTCCATATGAACTTTAAAGCAATTTTTTCCAATTCTGTGAAGAAACTCATTGGTAGCTTGATGGGGATGGCATTGAATCTATAAATTACCTTGGGCAGTATGGCCATTTTCACAATATTGATTCTTCCTATCCATGAGCATGGTATGTTCTTCCATTTGTTTGTGTCCTCTTTTATTTCACTGAGCAGTGGTTTGTAGTTCTCCTTGAAGAGGTCCTTTACATCCCTTGTAAGTTGGATTCCTAGGTATTTTATTCTCTTTGAAGCAATTGTGAATGGAAGTTCATTCACGATTTGGCTCTCTGTTTGTCTGTTACTGGTGTATAAGAATGCTTGTGATTTTTGCACATTGATTTTGTATCCTGAGACTTTGCTGAAGTTGCTTATCAGCTTAAGGAGATTTTGGGCTGAGACAATGGGGTTTTCTAAATATACAATCATGTCATCTGCAAAGAGGGACAATTTGACTTCTTCTTTTCCTTTTTTTTTTTTTTTGAGACGGAGTCTCGCTCAGTCACCCAGGCTGGAGTGCAGTGGCCGGATCTCAGCTCACTGCAAGCTCCGCCTCCCGGGTTTACGCCATTCTCCTGCCTCAGCCTCCCAAGTAGCTGGGACTACAGGCGCCGCCACCTCGCCCGGCTAGTTTTTTGTATTTTTTTTTTTAGTAGAGACGGGGTTTCACCGTGTTAGCCAGGATGGTCTTGATCTCCTGACCTCGTGATCCGCCCGTCTCAGCCTCCCAAAGTGCTGGGATTACAGGCTTGAGCCACCGCGCCCGGCGACTTCTTCTTTTCCTAACTGAATACCCTTGATTTCTTTCTCTTGCCTGATTGCCCTAGCCAGAACTTCCAACACTATGTTGAATAGGAGTGGTGAGAGAGGGCATCCCTGTCTTGTGCCAGTTTTCAAAGGGAATTTTTCCAGTTTTTGCCCATTCAGTATGATATTGGCTGTGGGTTTGTCATAAATAGCTCTTATTATTTTGAGGTACGTTCCATCAATACCGAATTTATTGAGCGTTTTTAGCATGAAGGCTGTTGAATTTTGTCAAAAGCCTTTTCTGCATCTCTTGATTTTTTTTTTTTAACCCACAGTTTTTTTTCTCTTTTACTGGTGGATATCATGTCCAGATAAGTATTCTGTAGTACCAACACCACAGTTAATATGTATTTTGATTATACAGAATAATGATTCTTAACAGGATCTTAGCCCCCAAAACACATACATAAGCATGTACATCAAATACAAGTAAAAATAACTGCAGCAACAAAGCTCTTCTGGAGAGAGTTCTGAAGTCTGAAGTAGTCACTCATATTTTTACCCTAAATGCAACTATTACTATCTCAACCATAGAAATGATCAAAGTAAGGGCTGGAGATATTTAGATTTTAATCACCGTAATGTGGATTATGTCACATAATGGAATTAGTCAGCTGAGTGTTTGAAAATCCTCATTATTTTAAATTCCTCATACTTTCAGGGTCTACAAAACATTTCACAACTAACCTAGCAAACCGTGATCTTTTCCCCAGTTCTGTAAGACTTCCAATCACAAAAAACAAGCAATACAAATTTCAGTAAAACTGCATGACAATTACCATTTGATTCTACTACACTGCAACTATCACCTCCACAGCCAGCTCCACAGGTCCATGAGACTTCCCATGATTATTCCTAGAAGTACTAATTAGGATCACAGGCATGTGGGGACCACCCTGTAATCGTAACATTCTCTAAACCTTCAGTCACAATTTATGTTTGAAAAACCTTTGGTTTTTATGATTAAAATGTGTATATATGTGTGTGTGTGTATGTGTAAATATATATGTGTGTGTGTGTATACACATATATCACTAAAATCTCTACCTATCAACAACATAATGATTTATAACCAACGGTTTCAGATGTGGGCCCCAGAACAACAGCATCAGCTTCACCTGGGAACTTCTTAAAAATGTAAATGCTCAGGCAACACCACAGACCTATTGAATCAGAAACCCTGGGACTAGCTCTCCAAATGATTCTGGTGCACACTGTATTAAAAAAAATGTAGGCCAGGCACAGCTGCTCATGCCTGTCATCCCAGCACTTTGGGAGGGCAAGGTGGGAGGATCGCTTGAACCCAGGAGTTCAAGAACAGCCAGAGCAACATAGTGAGACTTAATCCTATAAAAAAGTTTTTTTAAACTTAAAAAAAAAAAAAAAAAAAAAATTTAAAGTAATCACTTAAACATATGCTCCTGAAAGAACAGTTAACACCACTCAAACAAATGGAGGATCAAATGGAAAGTTAGCCTAAAAAGCAAATAAGCAAGTTTAATTAATTTGAAGAACATCCTTAATGCTATATACTATTTGGAAGATTTTCAAAGAATCTATAAAAGAATATGTACATTTATTATCAGATAATGGGTGAAAGCCATAAAGGTAAAATTAGTAGGAACAGAAATGAAAACCAAAGCAAATAAAAATGAAGTGAAAATCAGGCCCAAACAGAACAGTGTTATGGTAAACTTATGGAACATATGAAGGGGTTCCACTTCAATAGAACTATATAAAGGAACCATTCCAACGATGACAGTCTAGGTAACTTAGATCAATCTTCCCACTGAGAATAGAAAAGTGGACAAAATGTAATGATTACAGGGGCTGAGAAAAGGGAATACCAGAGAACAGAGTCTTCTTTTTTCCCCCTTGGGTTTTCTTCCAATGACAGCAGAGAAGAAGAGGTTAATAAGCTGAGCTAGAACTCAGAGCCTCACAGAGCTCACAGGGAGATAAACATTGGAGCTCACGTCCACTGAGGAGAGGCCCTGCTAACTCTCCCACTCCTCAGGTTGGGGACCTGAAGAACAAACTGCAAATTGCCCTGACAGGGAATGATGGCCAGCTTTAATCATCTCAATCCCTGATTGGATGAGACAATCCTGGGTCGCTAATTTCCAAGCCCCTGGCAGGGGCAAATGTAAATCCTCTCTGGAGAAGAATATCATCCAAGGCTTCAAATTAGCTCCACATTATATATTTCATATATAATGTCTATCACTAAAAATAAAAAGCCACATGAGACTTAAGAATGACATAACAGAAAATAAGAGAAGCAAACAACAGACACAAAACCACAAGGGATCGAGATAACAGAGTGACCAGACACACTTCAAAATAACTCTGCTGAACATGAGCAAGGAAAGACAGGACAAGACTGAAAACCTGGCAGAGAAATGCAAATTATGAAAATCAACCATAGGAAATTCTGCAATTTAGAACTACCAAAACTGAAAGTAATAACTTAATGGATAAGTTTAACCACAGCAGTAACCTAGCAGAAGACAGATTCAGTAAACTGAAAAAAGGTCAGAAAGACAAAAAGGCAGAAAATTGAGAAAATAAAAGACAATATGTTGAAAAGTTTATCACATACGTAGAGTCCTGGAAGAAAAAAAGAATGGGACAGAAGTAAGAGCTGAAGATATGGTTGCGGAGAGTTTTCAAAAACTGATCAAAGACTTCACAAGATTGAAGCACCATAAACACTTCAAGAGAAACAATGGAAGCTACCATAAGAGAATGATATCTTCAAGGTGCCGAAAGAAGGAAACTGCCAATCTAGAAACTTACACTCAGTGAAGATATTCTTCAATAATGAAATAAAAAGTAAGGATTTTCTCCATCTGCAGCCTCACACTAAAGGAAATACTAAAGGATATTTTCAGACAGGAGAAAGAGGATCCTCTACATCAAAACCTGGGGACTCTATTCCATAAACTCTGTACCCTGGAACTCAGGAATCAAGATTTTACAGAAATAAAAAGCGTTCTTCAGGGAGGGGAAAATAAAGATTGAGGGTGACTGGTAAAATGAAGTTTGAGTTACCTTAGTATATGTTAACTCTGAACCAGACTCTCAGGCTCTACAAGGATCTCATGAAGTTATCTGATTTCCCATTTAACATCTCAGCCTTCTAAGTTATTCATAAGGATGAAGAATATTCTATTTATCAAAGACTACATCACCAGGTCTAAATAGTTACAAGTCACTTCCTTACATTGAGTTGAAAATCACCCCTTTGTAATTTGACTTATTAGTTCTAGTTTTATGTCTTCACCAAAAACAAATAAAAATAAAAACTAATGCTTCCATATACATACTTTTTCAAATAGTTGAAGACAAGCTATCATGAACCTGAACCCTCATGCTTTCATCTCCAAATCCACAATTTCACCAGCTATCCTAGGACATGGAAAAGAATCTCTTCCCAATCCTGGCTATTATTCTCTAAATGAACCTATCCTTGTCTAAGTAGACCCTTCTTAAAGTACTACCTAGGAATTCAAGTCAGTAACTCTGATGTTGCCTGTAACATCAGAAAATGACTTCCTTAAAAGTACAGCAAGTTGGATTTGCCAAGTTGCTGACCAGGTTGCATTCCCTCCTGCCCTCACTCCCATCTTTGTGTTATGCTTTATCTCAAGTTTCATTTTGCTTATTATTCATGACTCTCAACATGTCACAGTTGACATCAGAGGCCATACATATATTTTGTTCTGGCTCTTTCCTGCAAATCTTTCTGAGTCATACCTGCTATTCTCCAAACACTGTGAATCCCGATACTAATAACTTGGCAATTCAGTTTAAGGTCCTGTTCAGAAGGTCAGTTAGCTCAAGGCAATCACCTTCTTCCAAGGCCTCTTAAGAAATACTCCAACCCCAGAAAAGGCCCTTCTTTCTGGCATCAGGAGCCATGGGCCACAAACACAAATCCAGTAGAATTTCGGCCATTTACCTCCCAGATCATCCCCTCCCTAAAGTTCTAACTAGAGCAGGAAAAAATAATGAAAACACCACCTGCAGTCACAAATCCTCCAGTTTCTTGGCCAATATTTCATATTCCTTTCAAGATACCTCCCAAAGAGGACATGACAAGGGAGGGGCACACAGAGTGCTACAGGTACTGATAAGGTTCTATTTCTTTATTCTTTTTTCTCTTTTTGAGATGGAGTTTTGCTCTTGTCACCCAGGTTGGAGTACAATGGTGCGATCTCGGCTCACTGCAACCTCTGCCTCCTGGGTTCAAGTGATTCTCCCACCTCAGCCTCCCAAGTAGCTGGGATTAGAGACACTGGCCATCACACCCGGCTTATTTTTGTATTTTTAGTAGAGGTGGGGTTTCACCATGTTGACCAGGCTGGTCTCAAACTCCTGTCCTCAAGCGATCCACCTGCCTCGGCCTCCCAAAGTGCTGGAATTACAGGAGTGAGCCACCACGCCCAGCCAAAGGTTCTATTTCTTAAGTTTGGTGTTGGGCATATGTTCATATGATTTAATGTTTTTTAAAAAAATTATATCTTCCTTTTTGTGTGTATGTCTGTTTTTTGTTGTAGGCCTGCGTGCTTCATTCGTTTACCCATATGAATCCATAGAGAAGTAACCATTAGCAACTTCAGTCAATATATACTAGACTCATACTTTAGGAAGACAACCCAGTTGACAACCACAACAGTTTCTATGCTAACAAAAGTCAGAGAAAATACTGACATTAGGGTCATTTCAAGACAGTTTAATCATAAGACATATTCCCAAGCAAAAATACACACACAGAAAATCTAAGTCAGAAGCTTTCAGAAAACCACTACCATCCTTAGAGTAAGTACAACAAAGTATTCTTTTATGTCTTTGTTTTTTTCATCAAAATACTTCATATAGCCATAGATTTTAAACCATTACATCTAGATTCCATATTAGATCATTAACATTTTTTCTAGATTCCATTGTTATTGTTTTGTAACCTTCATTTTTAGTATCTTAAAAATACTTTATTAATATAACACATTCAGAAAAGTACACAAAATATACTTTAAGGTAGACCTTAACAAGTTATTCTAAATTATTTGCCCATTTAACCACCAGCGTGCTTCAGAAAGATATTAGAGTCAGGATCCAAGAAGCCCACAGACGTACCTTTCAGTTCACACCTCCCTACCTCCCACCTTAGGAGTCCTCCCTAAGATGGACTCCTTAACGTACTCTGTGTGTAATCACCTCTTTTTTCTTGACAGTTTTACTGCCCAAGTATGAATCCATAAATAAGTGTTTCTCAGTTCTCTTTTCATTTATGTTCTATGGCCCTTTGGGGGGCAGCAGACCATGGTAATAGGTAAGATTTTCTTTCACTCTAAGGACCAATTTTCACTCCACTGCAGGAGATATTGCCTCCACTAAGAATGTGTGCCCTAACCAACATGAGTTTTGCCTATTTTTGAACTCTATATAGAGGGAATTGTACAAAATACGTTTTGGGGGTCTGGTCTCTTTTGCTTAATATAATATTCAAGATTCGCCCATCTCGTCCCACATAGCTGTAAGCCATTTTATGAATACCACAATTCTCCATTTTACTGGAATGAACATTTGGGTTATTTTCTGTTTGGGGCTATTACAAACAATGCTGCTCTGAACATTCCTGTGTCTCCCGGCACCTACGTACTCGTTCTTGTGGAGTATATATCCACGACATTCCTGAACCATAGGGTATGAGTATCTTCCACTTTACCAAACTGTTTTCCAAACACTTGTACAAATATACACCCATTAGAAGGATATAGAGTCTCACAACAATTTTCTTACCTTAAAAGATAAGCAAAATGTCTCCTATCCCTTGTTTTTCTTTTAAGATCTGAAGATCACTGTGCAAGGACTATCAGGGTCAACCTTGAGAATTACAAAACAAAAAAACAATTCAAATAAAAAGATTATTATTATTTTTACTAAGTCAAAAATGAACCAATCTGAAAGCTAAAATAGAGCACCCAGGGTAAGTTCCAGAAAGAGGAGATCTTAAGCTTCTCTATATCCCCAGGAAGAATAGAGGCCACTATAGCTTCCAGCTCCTTTAGGATAAGTATCCCAAAGAGATCATAATAGCCTAAATCTAATCTAATAAGGGGGTTCAGAGTTTGTAGTCATTCTAAAGGAAAAAAGTCACATGTATAATAATGTTCTCAAGAATTCAAAAAAAGTTTGCTATGCTTTCCTAAACTTGTGTTATTAGCCAGTGTGTTTAAGGAGAAAAATTTGTCATGGACAGAACTGTCAAAAGCTTTTTTTTTTTTTTGAGACAGAGTCTCGCTCTGTCGCCCCCAGTGGCACGATCTCGGCTCACCGCAAGCTTCGCTTCCCAGGTTCACGCCATTCTCCCGCCTCAGCCTCCGGAGTAGCTGGGACTACAGGCGACTGCCACCACGCCCGGCTAATTTCTTTTTTTTGTATTTTTAGTAGAGACGGGGTTTCACCGTGTTAGCCAGGATGGTCTCGATCTCCTGACTTCGTGACTCGCCCGCCTCGGCCTCCCAAAGTGCTGAGATTACAGGCATGAGCCACCGTGCCCGGCCAAGAACTGTCAAAAGTTAAATCACTAAAGAATCAGTATTTTTCTACAACTGTCCTATATATACATATCCAATATGTATCCCAACCCCTACTCCCCTCTTTTTTTTGTTTTATGAGACAGCTGGAATATAATAGTGCCACCCAGGCTGGAATATAATAGTGCAATCACAGTTCATTGCAGCCTTGACTTCTCCTAGCTCAAAAGATCTTCCTGCCTCAGCCTCCCACCACCCCTCATAGCTGGGACTACAGGTGTATTCTATCTATATATTTCAAAAGTAATAACATAACTACCTCCACAATAAGAGTTGAATGTTGCTTTCAAACTTAGGGGAAAAAAGTCACAAAAATCAACTTGGCAATCATTCCCTGTATAATGAAATGTATTACTTTTATTTACTTATCAAGCCATATTTCTCGAGCTTTTTGCCAGAAGATAAAAATCATGTAAATGTTCACTCTATCAGGAAGATGACAAAAAAAATTCCAATGGGCTTATAAAAACAATTTCCTTAAATCCAAAAACAAGCAAACTTATCCTATCTTACCTCCTACATCTTTTGGAACTTGATTGTGTTTGAGTTTCACAAAATAAAGCTAATAAACATTTCCATTTCTGTCCAGTTTTAAGAAATGATATTTATAATCTGACAACAGAAAAGAACAAAGAACAATAAGAGCAGAGATTTAGAGATCCTTACCTGTCTTATAACTCTGTGATCTATATATGTCCCTGAGCTCTTCCGTAAGTCTATCTGAAGCTTACACTGACCCAGACACTGCAGCCTGAAACACAAAAGCCACTGTTTACCAGGGTCTACTGAGCCAACTAATTTAAAAATTTAAGGTATTTCGACCTACTCTAAAAGATTACAGTAGCCAGGCAGGGGGCTCACACCTGTAATCCCAGCACTTTGGGAGGCCGAGGCGGGTAGATCACGTGAGGCCAAGAGTTTGAAACCAGCCTGGCCGTCAGGATGAAACCCCATCTATACTAAAAAAATACGAAAGTTGGCGAGGTGTGGATGCATGTGCCTGTAGTCCCAGCTACTAGGGAAGCTGAGGCAAGAGAATCACTTGAACCCAGAAGGTGGAGGTAATACTGAGCTGAGATGGTGCCACTGCACTCTGGCCTGGGCCACAGAGCAAGACTCCATCTCAAAAGAAAAAAGAAAAAGATTACAATAAAATTAGATCATCACTTAACAATTTCAGAAGTAAAAAAAGGCAAGGCACTGTGGCTCATGCCTGTAATCCCAGCATCTTGGGAGGCTGAGGTGTACAGATCACAAGATCAGGAGTTCAAGACCAGCCTGGCCAACATAGTGAAACCCAGTCTCTACTAAAAATACAAAAATTAGCTGAGTGTGGTGGTGCATGCCTGTAGTCCCAGCTACTCAGGAGGCTGAGGCAGGAGAATTGCTTTTACCTGGGAGGCAGAGGTTGCAGTGAGCCAAGACCATGCCATTGCACTCCAGCCTGGGTGACAGAGTGAAACTCCATCTAAAAAAAAAGAAAAAGTCCCATTAAATGAAGCATTATGAAGTTTGAAGATAATATAAAACTAGACACAAATCTGGTCCATTTCCTTTTTCTTATCACCTGAAAAACTCTAGCCAACATGTTCAGACCACCATGGACTCCATGATAGCATAGAATTCAGTATGAGTCTATTCCAAACCTGAGTAATTTTTGAAAATACTAGAAGACACTCAAGGTGACACATTATTAACTCAAATAGGCTTCCATTCATAAGACGACAAGCAAGAATATTACACAGATGGTCTAGTTCACACATTAAGACACCGGGAACCATGTGTGCTTACATGCAACAGGTTTCAGTTTTTCAGTGCAGGGACTTCTCTAAAGATGAAAAATATCGCTATCATATCCTAAGACTATATAGAAATGGAACTACTTTTTGGTCATGTGAAACCAAAGGTTTTAAAGACTGTACTAGACTTTGAAGGAGAAAAAAAATCAAGTTTATAAAAATATTACTTCTTAGCTATGTAACCATGAACTCATTTCATATCTATAAAATATGAGAAGCTTTTCCTATCTCTAAAATATGAAGAGCACCTATTTCACACAGTGGCTATGATGAATAAATGAAAAGATCTATAAAGTATAAAGTATTTAGCATAGTATCGGTCATGCAAAAGTGTTCATTAATTTATCCTTGTTTTGAAGATAACTCAAACTGGAATTGATCACAAGACACAGAAAGAACAGTAACATTAATTCAAATGCTACAATCTCAGTTTTTTAAATAATCAAGATATGGGGCATTGGCTAAATTTCTTTGCCGTATGAAAAATTACCAATTAAATTAATATATAAACAAGATTGAAGGAGGGAGAGTTATCTATCTGATTTCAACATTTGTTATCTACTTGCTTAACAATTCATTCCCTGTTTTGGAGAACCTGTGCCCAAGACAAAGTAACTGGTCCTCGGATATTGTGGAGCTGGTAAATAGCTCTAGTACAAGGCAAGAAGCAGTAAGTGTTCAGACAATTATTTGATATTTCCCTACTCTGTCTAGGCATTTTTTGTATATACATACATCATTTTAATTTATTTTTCATAGCAACCATCCAAAAGATATGTACTGTCTAACCATATTTTAGAGTTGAGCAAAGTGAAACCATACGTGTGTCTGTCTCCAAACTCAGTGTTTCTTTCCCATCCTGCCGCTTCACCTAAAAGAGATTTTAAGTCAAAAGAGAAACATTACTTTTGGTTTGGTCAGAGCAGGATGGACCAAAGTCAGCTTCATGAAGGAGAAATAATTTGAGTTGTGTTTTGTAGGAGAGAATGAATTTGAATGTACAGATGCCACAGAAGGAAGGTCAGCAGAGAAAACAGCATAGACAGGTGGAAAGGGGCATATACAGGGATCAGCTGGTGGTTCAGGATGTGAAGAGCAGATGAACAGGATAAAAAGTAGCTATTCATAGATGAGAAAGATAACCCTGGGCAGCAAAGCATATGAGCGTGGCTGGGCATGGTGGCTCATGTCTGTAATCCCAGCACTTGGGCAGGCCAAGGTAAGAGGACTGCTTGAATTCAGGTGTTCAAGACCAGCATGGTCAACATAGTGAGACCTCATCTCTACTAAAAATCAAAAAGTGGTGTGGTGGCACATGCCTATAGTCTGAGACACTTGGGAGGCTGAGGCAGGAGGACCACTGGAGGCAGGAGGACCACTGGAGCCTGGGAGATAAAGGCTACAGTGAACTATGATTGTGCCACCGCACCCTAGCCCAGGTGACGGAGCAAGACCCTGTCTCAAAACCAATAAACAAATGACTGAATCCACCACTAAAGCAGGAATGGAGGAGGAGAGCAGCTGAGATTGGCATGTTCATGAATTGCCTGGTATTAACTATAATTACTTAACCAAAAAATCCAGGCTCTAGATATTTATACACGCTTCCACGTTTAAATTGTCATACCTTTCAGTCTTCCTAATTTTCTCTAATATTGCCCAATTTTCTTTTTCAGTTCCTTCATCCTCCAACTGTTTCCCACTCATAGGCTCTTCTTTCATCTCATAGTGATCTAAGTCTTCTATATTCTGCAAAAAGAAGAGAAATATTAGGTTATTCAACCAATATTTCTTCAGCAGTTTCTTATGCCAAACGTTCAATTATTCTTGACTCAATGGGGAACAAGAAACAGAATATATCTCATTTCTTTTAAGAATCTACAGTTATGAAAACGTTATGAAACGTTATGAAAACGAACTGAAGAAATGGAAAATCTGGAGACCAATACACAAGAAGGAAAAAGACAGACTCATCCTCCAAATTGGACATTTATTTAAACCAGGGTTTGTCAGCCTCAGCAATATTGATATATTGGGCCAGACAATTCTTTGTGGAGGGTTCTCCTGCTGTGTTGTGGGACATTTAGTAACATCCCTTCTACCCACGGAATGCCAATAAGACCTGACCATGGCCAGTTGTGACCACAAAAATGTCTCCAGATATTTCCAAATGTCCCATGGGAGGCAAAATATTCCTGTAGGCAAAAGTTACTGTGTAAACTAGATCTACATCCTAGGTCTTAGAAAAAAGATGTAAAGCTTCCCAAGTTAGCCCTGCACACCCTTGATACTGAAATGAAATAAGAGCCTTAAAGGAAACAAACAAAACCTTAATCTTCTTTAATACAGAAGTAAAAACACAAAAATAAAATATTACTATAGCCGTTCTAACAGTTTTTTTATAGGCATGTGATGATGATTCAAAATTAGGAAAATTTCATCAGGTAATTCACAAATTATATTTCTCCATAGAATTGTAGACACAATCAGGAAAAACAAGGT